TTTTAAGAGAGTTGTGAGAAACAAAATATAGAAATTGCAGCATAATAACTTTTTTTTTTAACCTAAGCCACTTTCTTCAAGTTGCTAAGAGATTTATCTCAACTGAGCTTTTAAAATTTTTACATCTATTTATAAAAATAATAGATCAAAATGATAAATAAACTTTTGAGAAAATAAGAAAAATATCACTACACATCACTGCAGAATCATAACCACCATGAAAACTTTCTTTTTTTCGCGTAGTCATTTGACTTATTGCCTGGTGTGAGTTTTGTTTACCACAAGACACAATTAAATACATGCATCAGTTCAGTCATTTGTAACATAGCAACTTCCCTTTTTGCCAAGTGATCTCATTTCCTATCTTTTTGGAAAGAAATCCTAGTAACACGTAACGTGATCACTGTCATGTCAAAGATACCTTTTTTGTTTTTTTGTAAATATTGGAGTAAATAATGCCTAAATGTTTTAGAATAAATCTAATTAAGAAATTAGGTCTATATATAATTTTGTTTTACTTTTTTTTTTTTTTTTGCAACAGGCTCTCTGTCGCCCAGGCTGGAGTACTGTAGCATGATAACAGCTCCCTGCAGCCTCAACCTCCCTGGCTCAAGTGATCTTCCCACCTCAGCCTCCTGAGTAGCTGGGACTACAGGCATGCACCACCATGCCCGGCTAATATTTGCATATTTTTGTAGAGACAGAGTTTCCTCATGTTGCCCAGACTGCTAGAACTCCTGGGCTCAAGTGCTCCACCTGAATTGGCCTTCCAAACTGCTGGGATAATAGGCATGAGCCACCACAGCAAGTCCTTTTTTTTTTTTTTTTTAGTAAATTTAACAAAGAAAATAAATGACTACACATAAATATTTGCATTTGATTTTTTTTTTCATATTGAAGATCGGCTGATCTTAGATTTTCCAAGTCCCTAATAAATGCCTATTTATACAACTGGTGTCTTCCCCTAAACCTAAACTTCAAACTTCAAACACCAAACTCCACAGATTTGGATAGTATTAGAAATGGCATTCATATTAATGGTTATAGTACTTTTTTTTACATGCTAATGTGAATGGAATTATTAGGCATTAAAAAAGAAAGCTTATATAGTGGAAGAAAATAAAGCATCTAGACATAAGCTTTAAGAGATCTATTGTGTTAATACAGCTTTACTTTTTGAGTGGTAAGCTTTTAAAAAGAAATGTGGTGCTCTAACTCGAGGAAAAGATAAGGGTGACTGAAGTGATAGTCTAGAGGAAAAAGATGCAGACATTTATTGAGTACCTCCAATGTGCCAGGTGCTAGTCAGAGCATTTTCATTATGTTTCTTCATTTAATTCTCATGGTGATCTTTTGGAACTGTGTTATTATCATTTTATAGATGAAGTAACTGAAACACAGTCAGATTAAAGAACTGCCTATGATTGTTTGGCTAATAATAAGTGGAAGGGTGAGACTTGAAGGCAGGTTTGTCTTATTCCAACACCCATGCATACCCTTAAATTTAAGTTATTCTGACTTGATGTTGCTCAAATCCAATGTGTTCAGCTGTTTGCCTCTCCAATTAGCAAGATTTTTTTTTTAAGGTAGGACACTTTTAGCAACATGAACCAACTTTGCCCAGTATTGTTACAAACTGTTAACTGGAGACATTTGAATTTGGAAATGAAACTGATATGGTCTTGGGGTACTGGAGAAGATCAAGTTATCACATAAACAAAGTACAGAGCTAAGAACATGTTTTAAATCTTTCCACTAACTCTGACTTTTACTGACTAAAATTTTAGTGGACAGTATGTTTATGACTCTTAGCATTAACAATATCATAAGTCAAACTCACTAATATATGCTAAGCATTCTGTTTATGATTCTTTTAACCTAGAGGATTGCTGAGCTGGGACTAATTTCCTCAAAGGGAAAAAAAACCCCAGGTGAGAGCTGAGACTGCTCCTGAGACTGAGAAGGCATCTCTGAAGGGATCTCAGATTTTAGCAGCAGGAGTTGAACCATGGGCATAGAATCAGCTTGCCCAAGATCTCCTGATTAATAAACCATGGAACAAGATTTAAAACCAAGTTCATTTCACTTCAAAGCTCACACCACATTTTTCCCACCACATTTTGCTTTGTTATACTAATACAACTTTGTTCAGGCTTACAAAAGAGTCCTGGGAGGGGATTTAGAAGATTTTGCATAGCCAAGCACTGAGTTTCATGGAGTTTGATGGAAGAAGAGTTATGTATTAGTACGGGAAAAGTAGAGGCCATCTTTGTTGTTCTTTCTTGAGCTCTTCCCTTTCTTGGGTGATAGACTTCATCAACTTCTGATGAGGATCTCTAGGGGCTATTCTCTGCTCACCAAATGATTCTTATGACTCAGGAGCCAAATGGGATGTAAATAAACAGTATTTATGTCTAGCGTGGCACTTTAGCTAAACTTTGTACCCCACTTTGCTCTATTTTAAAGCAGAATATCCTTAAAAAGGATAGTTAGGCCTGCTTTTTTTTTTCCCCACCTAAGCCCATTTAGTCCTTCTACTCATTATGCAAGGACTCAAATGGTTATCTTTACAGAAGTGAGACAAGATAGAATCAATGCTCCTGTAATCACTTCATCTTTGTCCATCCCCACTTCTGATGGAGAGGGTCCTAGGACATAATGCACCAAAGGTTACATTGTGAGAGATAAACAACATTTGCAAAAGAGGTCTTTTTGCCTTGGAAAGGCTTCATTCTTTTTAAAAAATGTGAGCATCAAGGTTAAGTAGAACTCATTAGCTCAACCTTTAAGGATGATACCGGGATAAAGTTGGGCCCATGTGAAGAGAATGAGAGGGAGATATAGTGACATGAAAATAAGGAGGAAAAGGAGGTGCCTATGTAAGTAAGGTTCACCACAAATACAAAGGCAACCTTTAGGGAAAAGGAAAGAAGTCTTTGCACATCCTTAGAACTCTGAATGTCTTAGTGATGCTGTGTGAGTGAGTCTTAATGATAGTGAACTGAATCAGTCACGCCAGGTTATGTCCATATGAGAATGTGTCTTTGCTAAACATGCCAACATCACTGAAGCAAAGAAACTTGGAGTTTTCTTTAAGATATAGATCTTTTTCACATATCCGGCCCAAGCTTTCTCTTCTTGTCACTCCAAACACTCTGTTCCGTATGCTAAATAGTTTGAGGAACCCAAATGGGCCATGTTCGCCTACATTTCATTGTCCTGTACTTCTTGTCCTGTACTAGCAAAGAAGTCCCATTGGTCTTTCTTCTCCTCATTAACAATATAGGTAACACTTTTGAAGTTGTTTCTTCAGAAAACCTTCATTCGTCAAAACTACCTCAAAGGTCATGTTTCTTTGATTCTAGAACTTCCTGTAATTACCTGTATTGTAACACTCATCACTTTTTTTTACTTACTTGTGTAACTAATTGCCCATATTCTGCACTAGACAACAGACTCCCTTAAGTCAGGTACTATATCTATTTACATAGCATTCACAATAAGTGAATCTCCTACAATAAGTGACATTAGCAGATACATAACACATATTAAATGAATAATGAAGTTTCTGAAATACTAGAGTTAAAAACTATAGGAGCTACATTATATAGAATAAACATTTACTTTGCTATAGAATGTAATGTAACCCAGGCACTACTTTATCATCAGGCCTTAGGTTGGTTGGAGAAAGATAACAAAAAGAAACATGATTGTGCAGAAACAGACAAACCTTTGTGGAAGGCATTTGAAAATGGCATTTCCCCTCCACAGTGTGTGCACAGTGTGGGCAAACTCACTGCTCTGTCGTACTTTCTGAAAATAAAGAACCGTTACATCAAGGTGAATTATTTATAAATCGCGTACTTGCCCAGAAGGGAACAGACTTTTATTATCATAAGGACCCTTCCTTCCTTTATCGACAGAATCCAAGACCTTTCTTGAAAGGACACTAGGACATAAAGCCACCTTTTAATGACTCATTGAAATTTCTCACTCCATCCGTTTCACTAGTGATCATGGGTCCTCAGAGGTCAGTCTTGGTGTCCTTGGATAAAGAGCATGAAGCAAGGGTGGCTGAACCAGAGTTTGAACCCAGATGCTCTTTCCACTAAGCATACACCTTTCCATTAGATACACCTCTTTCCCACCCCGACCAAACAGCTCCAGTGCACTGCTTCCCAGACCATAAACATACTTGTCTATTCTGCTATATAGTCAGTCCTTACGTTGCTTTTTTCTTCTGATAGACCAAACTCTTTAAGAACAAGTACTTAGTCTTATCTATTTCTAGATCCCCCACATTACTCAGAAAGTTACTCCATAAATGTTTGTAGAACTGATTTCTATGTGAAGCAGGTGTGCCTCATCACTCTGTTAACATACATTAGAAAACTAAATCTTCTGAAAAGTTGTAATATGCCACCTAAGAACAGTAACAGTTCCTAGAAACTCTCTAACATGCTTAGAAAATGATTTATTATAAATTATCTCCCCAATAAAATGATTGACTGGCTTATCTTCACCGTCATGATAGCATCTGTAATTAATGGAATAAAAAAAATTATGCCATTAAAAGAAAACCATCCGTGATCTTGTTCTAACACCTGCCACTCTAGTATTATATCTGTCACATGGTACTCTGATAAAGTTATCTAGAAATAAAAAAGGATACAATTGATAATTCATCAAATTGTGGAGCTTCAGTATTTAAAAAGATGTATGTTAAAATTGAATTATTTTAAAGATCAAAGAAAACTTTCATCATACCGAGTACTTGATAAGGAACAAATAGGAAGTGTGATGACTCAGGTTTGCCCTGAGGGGATGGGCCATCAGTTGCAAATTGTGGAATTTCCTCTGACATAATGAAAAGATGAGGATGCATAAGTTCTCTAGTGGGGAGATGATATAAAAAGCCACCAGAGCACTCCATAAGGCACAAACTTTCAGAGACAGCAGAGCACACAAGCTTCTAGGACAAGAGCCAGGAACAAACCACCGGAAGGAACCATCTCGCTGTGTGTAAACATGACTTCCAAGCTGGCGGTGGCTCTCTTGGCAGCCTTCCTGCTTTCTGCAGCTCTGTGTGAAGGTAAGCACATCTTTCTGACCTACAGAGTTTTCCTATGTCTAAATGTGATCCTCAGATAGCAAAGCTAGTCTTGATGCTTTGATAACAAGTATCCTTTTTATTCAGAAACAGAATAAAATCTTAGCAGTCAATTAATGTTAAATTGAAGATTTAAAAAAAAACTATATCTATATAACTCTTAGGAAAGTATAAAGTTTGATCAATATAAACATTCTGCTTTTATAATTTATACCATGTAGCATGCATATATTTAACATAAATAAATAATTTACAGTATATCCTATTGAGAATCATGGGTACCTATATTATGTATTAATATTGAGTTGAGCAAGGTAACTCAGACAATTCTACTCCATGTAGTATTTCATTGACAAGCCTCAAACTTGTCGTTAATTCCTGTCTGGTTTAAAGATACCCTGATTATAGACCAGGTCTGTACAACTTATTTATATATTTCTGTTAATTCTTTCTGAAGGCAATTTCTATGTTGGAGAGTCTTAGCTTGCCTACTAGAAATAACACTGTGGTATCACAGAAGATAATGCAATATTGACCAGATAAAAATACCATGAAGATGTTGATATTGTACAAAAAGAACTCTAACTCTTTATATAGAAAGTTGTTCAATGTTGTCAGTTATGACTGTTTTTAAAAACAAAGAACTAATTGAGGTCAAGGGCTAGGAGAATATCTGGCTTTCAATGTCAGGAATGAGTTTACTAGAAATATGATGCCTTCTACAGTCTCCAAATAATCATATTGGAATTAGAAAGGAAGTAGCTGGCAGAGCTGTGCCTGTTGATAAAATCAATCCTTAATCACTTTTTCCCCCAACAGGTGCAGTTTTGCCAAGGAGTGCTAAAGAACTTAGATGTCAGTGCATAAAGACGTACTCCAAACCTATCCACCCCAAATTTATCAAAGAACTGAGAGTGATTGAGAGTGGACCACACTGCGTCAATACAGAAATTATGTAAGTACTTTAAAAAAGATTAGATATTTTGTTTTAGCAAACTTATAATTAAGGAAGGTGGAAATATTTAGGAAAGTTCTAGGTGTTAGGATTACAGTAGTAAGTGAAACAAAACAAAATAAAAATATTTCTCTACATGGTATTTAAATATGGTAGCTTCTACAACTACTATAAATGTTATTTTGGACTTAGACTTTATGCCTGACTTAAGGAATCATGATTTGAATGGAAAAATTAAATATTAATCTGAACCATTTCTCTCTTATTTCAGTGTAAAACTTTCCGATGGAAGAGAGCTCTGTCTGGACCCCAAGGTACCATGGGTGTCTAGGGTTGTGGAGAAGTTTTTGAAGAGGTAAGTTATATATTTTTTAATTTAAATTCTTCATTTATCCTGAGACATATAGTCCAAAGTCAGCCTATAAATTTCTTTCTGCTGCTAAAAATCTTCGTTAGGTATCTGCCTTTTGGTTAAAATAAAATAACATCAATAGTGAGTTTGTTGTGCTCATGACCGGAAAGACCATACATAGTTTGCTCAGGAAATTCTGGGTTTAAACTTGTGTCCTATACTCTTAGTAAAGTTCCTTGTCACTCCCAGTAGTGTCCTATTTTAGAGGATAAATTCTCTGATCTCCCTATTTATAGTTGAGATTATAGAGCATTTCTAACACATGAATGTCAAAGACTATATTGAGTTTTCAAGAACCCTACTTTCCTTCTTATTAAACATAGTCCATCTTTAAATTTTTAATTTTATTTTAGGGCTGAGAGTCAAAATTCATAAAAAAACAATGCATTCTCCATGGTATCCAAGAATCCCTCAGTGAAGATGCCAAAGAAACTTCAAGCAAATCTACTTCAACACTTCATGTATTGTGCGGGTCTGTTGTAGGGTTGCCAGATAAAATACAAGATGCCTGGTTAAATTTGAATTTCAGTAAACAATGAATAGGTTTACATTGTACCATGCAATATCCGGAACATACTTATATGTAAAATAATATTTATTTGAATCTACAGCAAACAACAAATAATTTTTAAATATAAGAATTTTCCTAGATATTGCATGGGAGAATATACAAATAGCAAAATTGAGGTCAAGGGCCAACAAAATATCTGAACTTTAATTTCAGGAATTGAATGGGTTTGCTAGAATGTGATATTTGAAGCATCACATGCAGATGATGGGACAATAAATTTTGCCATAAAGTCAAATTTAGCTGGAAATCCTGGATTTTTTTCTGTTAAATCTGGCAACCCTAGTCTGCTAGCCAGGATCCATAAATCCTTGTTCCACTGTGCCTTAGTTTCTCCTTTATTTCTAAGTGGAAAAAGTATTAGCCACCATCTTACCTCACAAGGATGTTGTGAGGACATGTGGAAGCACTTTAAGTTTTTTCATTGTAATATAAATTATTTTCAAGTGTAACTTATTTGCCTATTTATTATTTATGTGTTTATTTAAGCATCAAATATTTGTGCAAGAATTTGGAAAAATAGAAGATGAAGAATCATTGATTGAATAGTTACAAAGATGTTATAGTAAATTTATTTTATTTTTGATATTAAATGACATTTTATCAGATAAATTTTGATCAGAGTTTTCAGACTAAACAAACAAACAATTGGACATCAAGTTAAATTTTCATTTCAGATAAACAACAAATAATTTTTTAGTATAAGTACATTATTGTTTATCTGAAATTTTAATTGAACTAACAATCCTAGTTTGATATTCCCGGTCTCGTCATTGCCAGCTATGTTATGCAGTGCTGTGTTGAATTACGGAATAATGAGTTAGAACTATTAAAACAGCCAAAACTCCACAGTCAATATTAGTAATTTCTTGCTGGTTGAAACTTATTTATTATGTACAAATAGATTCTTATAATATTATTTAAATGATTGCACTTTTTAATACAAGGCTTTATATTTTTAACTTTAAGATGTTTTTTGTGTTCCCCAATTTTTTCTACTGTTTCTGATTGTACAGAAATATAAATGTAAATATGAAACATTTAAAATATAATTTGTTGTCAAAGTAATCAAGTGTTTGTCTTTTTTTAGTTTTAGTTTATTGGGCTTATTGGGATTCTCTTTGTTTGTATTTAAAATTATACTTTGATTTAGAAAACATAAATGCTTCCCCTTAACATTTTGTTTACTCTATGGAAAACTACAAACTTTTATTTTTAGAAAACAGAACTCCTTTCCAGAAATGGGTTACAAACAGTAGTGTCCTCACAGAATGTTGGAAATGTTTTCAACTTTCCACTGTATACTATTTTGCTAATAAGTCTATCTTCAGATTTTGATTAATCAGTTTGTATGTCTGTACGCTTTAGCATAGCTGGACATTTAAAGAGGAAAGAGAGTACATATTGCAAGTTGCTTATCAGTAACTGAGGAGTAAAACTGACATGCATGAGGCAAAGAAGTTTAAAATATGGTTAAAGGCTAAGCATATTTGCAAACAAATCAAACAATACTCTGAGAAGTAAAAACATAATTATTTAACTACAAAATTTCAGTGAATAAATTTTATAACAAATTAGACACAGTTGAAAATACAATTAGAAAACTAGAAAACAGAACCGAAGAACTTTGGAATTCTTATAGGAGAGATAAAGAGGTAGAAATTTGGAAAAAGAAGTCGAAAGGCGTGGAGGATACAGGTGTAAGCTCTCATAGATGTCTAATTGGATTGTCACAAGCAGAAGAGAGAGCAAAGGGTCAGAGACAACATTCGAAATGACAATGGCAAAAATCTTTCTGGAAATGATGAAAAATAACAATCAATGTTTCAAAAAATCCAATGTATCAACATTTACCTTTATATTCCTACTCAAAAAACAAGGATTTTAGAACTTTTACATTTATCCACCTTCTAGCTCATATGCTATTGCTGTTGGGTATTTTAAGTTCACTTGTTTTTAAGAGCTCCACAAGTCTGCTTGTTTGTAGGTATGTAGATTTACCTGAATATTTACCAATTCATTTGTTTTCCATTCTTTCTTGCATTATGTCTCAGGCCTTTTATACTAGTTTCTTTCTGCCACAAAGACATCCTTAGAATTTAGTTTAGTGATGGTCTGCTGAAGATAAATTTTCTCATTGGTTGTCCAAAGAAAGCTTAATTCCAAGTTTGTTTTTGAGAGGTGTTTTTGCTGGCATATGTTCAATTTATTGGAATATTTGTCAATTGTAAACTTCTGTGCACTTAATAAAAGAATGTCAAAAACATATAATGTATACATTCTTATAACTAGAAAGGAGGGGCAACATATAAATAAACCACCTCAATAGAAGACTTAAAATAAACTCTTAGTAATTGATTGTCCAAGCAGACAGAAAGCAACATGGGCTTAGCAAATTTTAACAGCACGTTATCAAGCCTGACCTAAGAGATATGTATAAGTCATAGTGGATGACAACTTTAGGACACACATTGTTGTGTAAGTACCCATTGATAGGAATGGCCTCATAATTTGAAAAGTATAATGCAAAATAAAAACCTAGGATCCTGTGCTCAAAAATTATTAAAAATGTAATAGTAACAGTTGTGATAGCAAATCAATAACACATGCATGGAACCCTTCTGAACATGAGCCCTGTACAAGTATACAGGTCACACACCCATGAAGCAGACCCTGCCCATAGAATATTTATGAAATTTAATCACATTCTGAGGCATAAAACAAGTCTCAACGAATTTCAAAGAATTGATATTATATAGACCACATCATCAAAATATTTTTCAATTAATTTAGAATTCAACCACAAAAATATAAGTACTAAAAGGCCCATATGATTGGAAAACAGTAAACACTTCTAAATAAATTGTCTGTGTAAAGAAAATCAGAATGAAAATTCAAAAATTTTTAGAATATAATTATGTAATTACTGTGTATCAAAACGTGCATGCAGTAGATAGAGTAATGGCATTCCAAAAGATGTTCATGCTCTAACCCGTGACATCTTTGAATATATTACCTTACACAGCCAGAGACTTTGTAGGTATGATTATGTAAAAGATTCCAAGACTGGGGATTATCCAGGAGTATCTGTGTGGGCCTGATGTAATTGATATAATCGTAAAATTCTTTCTAAGAGGAAGTCAGGATGGTCAGATACAGAGAAAGAGATGTTATCATGGAGAGAAAAGAAGTGCTACAGGGAAAAGCCCAGGAGTCAAGGAATACAGGTGCCTTTAGAAGCTGGAAAGGCAAGGAAATGGATTCTCTCCTAGAGGCTCCAGAAGGAAAATAGCATATCTACACTTTGGATTGAGAACTTCTGACCTTCAGAATCCTAAGATTTGTAATAATAAATTGGTGGTGTTTTATGCCACAAAGTTTATGGGATTAGTAGCAATAGAAAACATAAACTGTTTTATGAAATTAATTTAATATTTCTAGTAAGTATCTTATACTTACAACTGTAATGCTTATATTAGAAAAAAAGAATAAGTATAGTAAAATAATAAAAATAGAAAAGTAATAAAGAAATGAGCAAACCATTAATAAATCAACAGAGGATTTACACAAGTTGGTTGTTTTGAAAGATTAATAAAATTGATAAAATTGAATTGAAAATGAAAGAAACTATGATTAACCGCACTATATTTGAAAACAGATTAATGGACATATTTCTACAATACTGTATTTCCAAATCTAACTCAAAAATTTTAAAAAAATATATAGAATTCAATAACAATCAAGGACATATTAATTAATATTAAAAATATTTCTACTAACAAAAAAATAAGTCGCACAATTTTATCAAAACTCATTCATAAAAACACATTATAAAAATTGTTAAAGAACACAGTATTAACAAGATAAAAACAACATTTAAAAATTTTAATACATCATAACAAAGAAATGCAACTTGATTAACTGAATACAACTTAAATAACCGAAGATCAATTAATGAAATTCACTATACTAAGGTAGTAAAGGAGAAAAAACTTGATCATCTCAATGGATTCAGAAACAACCCGGGATATGACTTAACATCCAATCATTTTAAAGAAAAAAAATCTCTAGGAATGACAGGAAACTATTTTAAACCTATAAAAGCTACAATAAAGCAAACAAAAGTCACAGCATACTCAAGACTTAAGAGATAATTTAAAAATAGTAATATATACAATTGAAACAAAACAGGTTTCCATTATCATCACTTCCATTCAATTTTTTATTGAAAGTCTTGGGCAATGCAGGGAGATAGGAACAAAGATATTAAAAAGTAATAATTGGGAAAGAAAAAAATAAAAGGTAGAACTCAAAAGACTATATAAAGATAATTGATTAACTTTTTAAAATTTTGATGGGTATGAAAATAATTTATAAAAACCAATTGCTTCTCTGTACACCAGGAACAATTAGAAAAGGCAGCTAAAAGCATATTATATAAATTAGCACCATCATTTAAATCAACAGGAAATAAATCTAACAAAGCTGTGTAAGAAATGCGTGAAGAACATTATTATACTTTATTAAACCCCCAAGATTGGAGATCATCCTATAAAAACCCTAGAAGACAACTTAGGCAATACCATCCTGGACGTAGAAGTGGGCAAAGATTTCATGACAAAAATACCAAAAGCAATCTCAACAAAAGCAAACATTGACAAATGATATCTAATTAAACTTAAGAGCTTCTGTGCAGCAAGACAAATTATCAACAGAGGAGACAGACAACCTAGGGGATGAGAGAAAATATTTGCAAAATATGCATCTGACAAAGGTCTAATATCCAGTATCCATAAGGAACTTAAACAAATGTACCAGGAAAAAAAAAAAAA